TGACAAGTAGGCAATTACTGCCTTGATTATTAAGTTATTTAACCGTAACAGATGTAGTCGCTTCTCATTTCTTAAACAACTGTATTGAAGTCAAACTAGCAACATTAGAACGCGTGCAATGCAAAAAGAACTCAAGTGATTGGAGCTAAATAGCAGCACAGAGAAAATCACTCAGGCTCATCAATTAAAAAAAGCTAAGTTTTGCTTGGAAGGATGAAGACTGGACTCAGTTTTACCCTGTTCCAGAAAGAGAGTTGCATTAGTGAAAGGATCATAAGTGTTTGAGGGAAGGGTTTGTTGCGCTAAGAATGTCAAATAACCTGCATATAACAAATAACCAAGTTATTTTGTCAATTAAATTTTTCCTTTAATCGCATGGGTATATTCCAAAATGACTGTCAGGACTATTCTCATTCAGTTCATGCATGGATTGACCATCACAAATCCAGATCTTAACACTATTGAGTGTCATTCAGCAACCGGACTCCCATCATCTTTACAACATGCTGGCAAAAAATGTTTATGCAACTCTGGATACCTAGAAAGGTGACATTGCAGAGTATTAAAAACGATGCTACAGAAGTGCTGTAACCAAGGCTAAAGAATGTCTAATGAAATGGTGTGTGTATTTTTGGGGGTAGGCAGTGTACATACTTGCAACTTTATTTTCTGTGACCATCTACTGAAACATTGACTTTCAATTTACAAATTCTATATTTTTTGATCGCTACAGTTATCTTAAGGGCGTTTAGGAGCTGTAAGCACATGGACTGCTGCATAATGTTCACAATGTGCACGTGGTTATTAATTACTTAAATAGCATGTTGGAAGCTTTTTTTTTTTTTTTTTCTCAAAGCCACAATGAATGGCAGCTGCTGCACCTCTTTATCTAACAAATTCACTGCACATCATATTCTGTACTGCTTATTTCTCTGCAGTCAAGTTTCCAAATTTATTATTTTTCTTAAAAAAATTATTGGACCTGACTGCATCCCAAGGTCAAAGGATCATAAGTGTCAGGATTCTGAATTTATCTGATGTTGCTTCAAAGTTGCATTTCTGTTTCTCAGTTAGGGAGAGATAAAAAAAAAAAAAAGATTCAAATACCATACCATCAATGGTAATTTAGAAATATCTCAGTTTATCACTTGCCTGGAGTGACAAAGAATTGATCCCATCTTGCCTGTCCTTCCCTCCTGATGCCATATTGGCTCGCTGCTGCTATTCCTAGCTACAGTGCAGATGTCTTTGTGACTCAGCAGATGCAGTCCTCCTGTTGCACTGAGAGTGTATCGAATGTCTCTGAATCTGGAGTAAATGCCCATCTTCATCAGTAGCTGCACAGAAACACAAACTAATTTAGACTAACCTCTAAAAGCCTTCTGATGTTTTCCTGGCTGATTTTTAAAGTGTCTTGGTTTCATTTTGCATCTTTGTGTCAACCTGTCTATTTTAGAAATTAATAATTCACTGCCTCATTTGACATCTATTTTTTTTTTCATTTATATTTCTACTATTTTAGTTGTGTGAGGATCTTAAACATCACATTTAATATAATCTGACAGTTTCAACAGTATTTTTCCGTGTCTCCTCTCACACTAATTGCACACCTAAACTGTCTTGTTAACTATCTGGATTTCTTCTGTCCATTCCTTTTCCTTTTTTATGTCCTCTTAACCTTGTCAATTTGTTTCCCATGTCTTATCTCCTTTTCCCCCCCTCATTTCTTTTCCATCTGTTTGTGCGACTGGTGTTGGAATGCCTTTACTCGATGCATCTTGCCCTTGTGCCAGATTGCTCGTGAAGCAGAGGCAGCCATGTTCCACCGGCAGGTGTTTGAGGACCTGCGTCGTTCTACGCCGCACTGCAACGACCCGGCTGAGGCCATTGCAATCGGCGCTGTCGAGGCCTCCTTTAAGAGCTTAGCCTCTGCGATCATTGTACTCACAGGCTCTGGAAGGTAGGCCGGTTATCTGGCTCCGACATCCTCTGGATGTCTGATGGAAACTTGAACAGACAGAGAGGGAGAGTAGGGCGAGGCAGGCATTGATAAAGTAACTGAGAGACCTGGCAAAAGCTCAACTAGACTGACAAAGTATAGCTGATGAGATAATTCACAAAGTTCTGCTATTGGGAGCAAAATGTTCCCACATTTAATTGTGATGTTTTTTTGAAACTTCCCCAATTTATTTTCTGAATCTCTCCTTATTCAGCATAGTCTAGTCCTGTTTTTGCCAGTCATTCAGTGGTGTGAGTGCCTTGATGTGTTTGTAGTGGAGTGTGTTTGAGAGTAACCTTCCATTCGGGACTTAGATAGCACGGGAGGCAGAAGCAGCCACCTTCCACAGACAGCTGTTTGAGGAGCTGAGGAGAAGTACCCATCTGACCAGAGACCCCTCAGAGGCTGTAGCAGTTGGAGCTGTTGAAGCATCCTTCAAATGCTGTGCTAGTGCCATCATTATTCTCACTAAGACTGGAAGGTAAGAAAGTGAGGGATGCAGTCTGAAAATATTCCTGAAGGTAAGATCTAATTACCCAGGCTCGTAACTCTCCCACATATAATATTACAAATCTTTAATTTTGCATGTGTGTGGTGATGTGTGTGGGTATTAAGGGCAGAGAATAAGAGTGAGAGCGGGAATGACGTTAGCCAAATCAAGGGGTCTTGTCTGTTTATCATTCACAAATGGCTGTACTGGCTCAAAATGCAAGTTAATTGTCTCTCCAAATCTTATAAGTGACTGCAAAACTAAAATTTGATCAAATTTTGATCAACATTGTTTTACACAGGAAATGCCCATCTAGGAAATGTCAAATAATTGAGCTCTGTGTCATAGTAAAAAGCAAATATAACTAATTATATTTGATAATTGGAGGTTGAACTAACAAGATGGTCCTCAAATTGCAATATTATAAACTTAAGTACATTTTATTGTGAGGACGATCCATTCATATATGGAACATTTCTTATAGCTTTTTTTTTTTTTTAGAAGCTATAAAAAAAGCTATCGGTCCCTCAGGGATCTGAAGTGTTTTCAGATCCCTAAGGGTAAAGTCAACATTTTAACACCTGGATACAACTGCTGTGAAGGACGAAGGCTGATTTTGGCTATAAAAATCAGCCACCTTGCTATAAACGTTGAGTTAACTATTAGCTCTTGGTCAAAGTGTTATGACATATGAAACCTTACTTTAGCTGAAGCTTTTCTGAAATAAAATTATGAAACAGAATGATGGCCAAATTTTATTTAACTTGCATCCTATGTCCATGTTGTTGCTATTAACATGCAGTATTGTAAAGTTTCAGTTTCATAATCTGTACTCTTAATTGTAGACTATTCAATTTACATAGGGGGTCAACTTTTTGTTGCATCAGATGTTTTATATGGAAAAATTGGCATGATAAGAGCAAATCTGCTGAAGTTACTGTAATTTTTTTCCCTTCCTCAGTTCTCAGCTTCCCATGTATGCATGTGTGTCTGCAGGTCTGCTCACCTGCTCTCCAGGTACAGGCCTCGTGCTCCCATCCTCGCTGTGACCCGTAACGCCCAGACGGCTCGTCAGGCCCATCTGTACCGCGGGATCTTCCCTGTCCTCTACACCAAGCCCCCTCACGATGTGTGGGCAGAGGATGTTGACATGCGTGTCAACTTTGCAATGGAAATGGGTGAGCAGCTACTTTTAATGTTCCAACTTAATTAAATTGAGCAGCATATCTGAATTTGTTTCCATTCTTTTACTAAAAATGTTTTATCTTTATTTTTTTTCTTCAGGCAAGGCCAGAGGATTCTTCAAAGACGGTGACGTTGTCATCATCCTGACTGGCTGGCGTCCTGGCTCCGGTTACACCAACACCATGCGTGTGGTCCTGGTGGCTTGAGCAGCCAACGCAACTGCTCTGCACCTACCCTTCACGTTTATCTGTCTTTCATTTTCATCATCCCAATGACTCACTCCTATGAACACTTAGATGTTTAGCTTTTAGGTTCTCATACAAATAATTAATCAGAAGACGACCCTTATGACCGAGCAGATGCTTGGATGGGAGCAGTTTTCTTCCAGACAATTCCAAATCACGTTATCATTCCTTGAACATTTGTTTTTTTGTCAAACCAGTTGTCAGGACTTCAGATTATTGCACCCCAAGTGAAAACAGCTATATTTATTCGCTCCGACACTTGTAATATTAAATATGAAAGCCTATGAATGGAAGCGTCTGTGTGCGTGTGTGTGTGTGCCTGCATGTCTGCCTCCTTTTTGGGTATTGATGGTTTTGGAGCCGACTAATGTTAAAGAGCGCCTTGTTGAACTGTAAAGAACAAACTAATGGCAAACAAAGATCTCGACTCCATGACTCCTCTAAACAGACGTTTGTGTAGTGCTCTCAGTATGAAGTGTCCTCTCTTATAAACCAGCTTCCCTTGTGTTTCAGTGTATCTGTTAGTGTTGCACTCCTTACCTTCTCCAGACACTGTTACATTCTAAATTGTACTTAACTTTTGTGAAAGGTAAACTTCTTTATTTTGTTGTTTTTGGAACATTCAAATCTGCTTATATTTTGTCTGACGAGAGAAAAAAGTTTGGGTGTCCAATCCAGAGGAGGTAATGTTTTGTGGTGTTAGATGTATCACAAAGCCTTTACATTTCTTTGCATTCAGATAATATCCAAGGGGGAAAACTGTAAACATTTGATTTGGATCATGAGATCAGAACTGGACTCATGAGATCAGAACTCATGTTTCAGAGCTCTCTCATCGTCTTCTCTGTTGGTGATCCACCGTAGCTGTCCTGCTCCTCTAACATGCTTTTGATTGTAATGCTAGAGACTAAGAACTAACAATGTAAAGGGGGATTATGATGTTTAGCTGGTGTACTGAGATGTCTCAAACTGCAGTTCTATCAATAAAGTGAGCACCTATTAGAAGTTATCTGGCCTTTTGTTTTTGGAATAACTTAATAGGAACAGAACTGAAAGTAAACTCAAAGGAATATTTACAAAGTTTGGATTCAGAACTTTTACTGATCTTTTGGCATGACCTCTGTCAGGCCTGTCAAAACAACACAGTAGCAGCAGAGTTGGAACACAAAGTCCTGCTGGATCTCCTTAATAATCAGTTTTGAGTAATTATTTAATTTTACAGTGACCGCAGAACATTTACTGGCAATCTTGGCTGTACACCACGCCCACCTGCCGACGGATTTCATCCTCCAGTTCTGCCAGCAGAAGAGAGTCAGAGTGCGACATGACTGGACTCTCCTTCAGCCCTATGGGGAGAAATGGAAGCATAAGCACATTTTCTGATGTCAACCAAGATTTTAATTTCTCCTGCCATCAATTGCCTGAGTAATTAACTGCAAATCAGTGTTTTTTTACTTTCAGAAACATTGATATAGAAACAAACTAAAACATACAAAATATCTCGTTACCTTTGATCAAACACTGTCGGACTTCCTCAGCTTCATAACGCATCCCTGTGCTGTTGTGGAAGTTCAGAGGGAAACTGGGTTCAGGCAAAGGATACTGGGTCTCCTTCCCATTCACTATTAGTGATGTGGGGCACCACATCCTGGCAGGGATCTCAAACGTTGAAAATAAATGAGCGTTACAAAAATGTTCCAGCCGCATTGCATTTATCTGTTTAAACTGCCTTTTAAATTACCTGGATGGTGCCCTTGGTTCCAACAATAATGGCATCATTAGGAAGCTGTATACTGCAAGAGTAAGTAAACACAGCCATTCTCTTCTCTGAAAACTTCAGAGTTACAATCACAGTTTCATCCACCCCTGTAATTGAAAGATGACTAGATAAAATAATTTGCATAAAAATGGACCCAATGCTCTGGTTAGCTCCTACCTGTGTCCAGGCAGACCCCGGTAGCCTGGATGCTCTCTGGCCTCTCTCCATTGTACACCATACACACAAACTGCAGGCAGTACATGCCAATGTTCAATAACGCTCCTCCACCCAACTCCTTCTCTACTACTCTTCGGTTGTGCAAAACTGGTACTCCAAACTCCGACCGAACCATTTTCACGTCTCCTATCTCCCCCTGAGCCAGCATCTTTCTAACCTCCACAGAAACTGGGAAGAAACGGCTCCACACGGCCTGGAGACAAACAGACAGAAACAGAACTGGACCAACTGGTATCATAAATATTTTAGGCATTTTTGTGTATCATCTCATGTTTTGAGGTTTTAGGTTGTTTCATGATGTTATTTTCAGGTTTAGCTGCATATATACAAGAAAGGACACAAAAATCCTTTCTTTTTTGTAAAAGAAAAGCACAAAGCAGGCTTTTTCTAAAGTGTGGGAGAGATTTCTGATTAAGGGAATTTGATAGATTCTGATCTTGATCTGAAAAGATTGGCTAATGCTTATTCAACCTAACTGCTGCTAGTTTACCTCCATAAAGAAGACTTGATTCCTTTTGGTAGAGTCCAGAATCTCTTTCACTTCTTTACTGTTCATGGCCAACGGTTTCTCACACAGAACATTTTTCTTGGCATTCATGAAGAGCAGACAGGCCTTCAGATGGTATGGGTGGATGTTCCCAACATACACCACATCTGTGCAAACATTTGACGATGAAAGCCACCATACACCATAGAATTCTAGAGTTTTGACAATTCAGTTTGTCATAACATTCACTTTGAAGTGCATTATGTACAGCAGCAAACAGCAATCTCTGACAAACTGACCTACATTTGGATCTCTGGCCAGCTCCTCGTAGCTGCCGTAAGCCTTAGAGATGTGGTGTTTCCTGGCAAACTCTTGAGCATCCTCCAACTTACGAGCTGCAATAGCCACAACCTGTAAATACAGTGAGAAAATAACTACAATAATTTTCAACATTTTTTATGAGTCATTACTTTTATTATAGAAATTCTGCACAAATCTGTTCTGACTCTTGGCAGTTTCATCTTTTTCTAAAGAAAAACATGTTACATGATGAACCTTAATTGTTACTGACTATATGACTAACTGTATCACTGATTTTTAAAACTAAAATTCGTAATTCCCAGACTGCATCAAAAACTACTTCCTTCCTATTCTGTGGTTTACGGTAATAGTTTGGTAACTTGACAGTTTAGTCAAAATGTAAATGTATCACAAGCTCATTGACCGCGCGTGCTGCTTCTAGACACGGTTCACATGTTCAACACCATGTTTACTTGATGTTTTTCGAAATATATCCAGCAAACAGATAATAGGCCGTTAAAAACGCATAAAAAGAACCCACGCCAAAGAGGCGTGTTGCATTTAAATTACGTGTTGAATTTGAGCGTCTAGTTCAGGAAACATACTGACCCGATGGTCTTCAGCAGGAAGAGTTTTTAAAGCAACAGCAAAGTCGTGACTGATCTTCCCAGCGCTGCATATTCCCCACCTGGTTGCCATGTTGCTCAAAAGTTGACTGTCAGAAACAAACTTTCACCGTTCTCTGCCACAGGGTGGCGACAAAGCACTCATTTAAGATTTTATTTTGTAATCATCTGCTTAAGGCTTTAGATTATTAAAAAACTACGCATGAGGCGCTAATACTAATGAATTTGATTCAGAAGTGTGTAGGAATATAAAAGGACTGGACATCCTTTCATAATAAAAGCCAATTTTGCAATGTATTTGGAAATTGTGGCCTGGATGAAAAGTGAAGTACAGAATGTGTGTTGCTTGAGGCCCAGGATAAAGTTTTTAATTTCTGATTGTCTTTTGGCAACTATAAAATCAACATAGTTACCTTTCAGGGAATGAGGAATTCATGCTTCCTTCACCTGATGAATGTTATGGAGATTCTGATGTCCTTTTCCAGCAGCACTGTGACCTGCCCATACTGTCAAAAGTATTCAAACCTTGTTGGCCCACAAATGAGTCAGATCTACACCCATATAGAACCTGTGGACCCAGGCCAAGTGGAATATGAGATATCAAATCTTAAGATAGGCAGAAGGCAATCTGGACTTAACACCTCACCACAATAAAAGTTTATAAATCTGTGAAACGAGTAACTCAATTATAGAACTAGATCTTCAAAAAAAAATACTCCAGTGTATTTCTTAATTAAATCAATATTAAATTCAACATAAATGCTATAATCATAATCAATGCAATATATTAAATAAGCAGCAGTATAAATATATGTTTCCGTTGAATGAATTTGTGCAATTTTGTTAAAACCATATTTTCTTTCAAGATTATACAGTGAGAATCTTAATCAGTCCCAAATGAAACATTTTACACTGTCACATTATAGAAACTTTTATTAGAAGTCTTCATTTAGACATGATCAGAAGTACTTCAGTTTACAGTCATGGAACATTCATTGAGGTTTTGATTGTTTCAGTGCCTTTTACAGATAGTGTTGATTCTTATACATCCAGCAAAGTTCACAAAATCCTGACCCAATATAAGGTGGAATTAGCAGACAGCTATTAGTGAGGTATTTCTTATTTAACACAGAACTTGTGAGGTCATCAAAAAATTAGGAGCATTGTTGTAGTGTGAGTACAAAGTGCAGCTGGATCACAGTAATCAAGTCCTTTCCAGTTATAACGTATTCTTCAGTCAAAGTGTGGATACCGAGTGTAAAACATTTACTGGGAGTCTTGGCTGTACACCACGCCCACCTGCCGACGGATCTCATCCTCCAGTTCAATCAGCAGTAGAGAGTCAGAGTGAGACATGACTGGACTCTCCTTCAGCCCTGCAGGGACAAATGAAGGCAGAGTCATATTGTGCTTCAGGTGTCAACCAATGATTCTTTGCATTACTTCTTAGTCACCAGCTGCCTGGACTAAGAAGTCTGCAATATTGTTTTATGCAGAGAGATTTTTGGTGTAGATATGCTAATTTTTCTACTTACCTTTGAGCAAACACTGTCGGACCTCTTCTGCTTCATAACGCATTCCTGTGCTGTTGAGGAAGTTTAGAGGCAAACAGGGTTCTGGTAAGGGGTACTGGGTCTCCTTTCCATTCACAATTAAAGATGTGGGGCACCACATCCAGGAAGGGATCTCAAAAATATAAAAGAAAAAGACAATCCACAAAATACCATAAAATCTCCCATTTACCACACATTGCATTTAATTGTGGACTAAACCTAACCCGATCTGGATAATTTACCTGAATTGTGCCCTTAGTTCCAACAATAATGGCGTCATTGGGAAGCTTCATACTTGAAGAGTAAGTAAACACTGCCATTCTCTTCTCAGAGAACTTCAGAGTGACAATTACAGTCTCATCAACCCCTGTAATTGTGAGCACATAAAGGCTATGAAAATCATAAAGGTGCAATTTTTAAATAAAACTTATTCCTCTGGGTACCTGTGTCCAGGCAGACCCCGGTAGCCTGAATGCTCTCTGGCCTCTCTCCGTTGTACACCATACACACAAACTGCAGGCAGTACATGCCGAGACTCAACAGAGCTCCTCCACCCAACTCTTTCTCTACAAATCTTGGTGTGTGTAACACGGGAATGCCAAACTCTGACCGGATCATCTTCACATTTCCTAGTTCCCCCTGAGCCAGCAGCTTTCGAATTTCTGAAGAAACTGGGAAGAAACGTGTCCAGACGGCCTGGAGACAAGGAACAGCAGGTGGAGATGAATGAGTGCTAAACAGCTGGAATTAGAAATATACGTCATCAATTTTGGAACATCTAATGTCGTTTTTGAACTTTTAGAGCAATTCTTTTTTACTGATTATTTTAAGGTTTAAATGTATGACTAAAAAAACAGCAAAAGCTCCATCCAAAAAGAATAATAATCTGGTGCACGAATGATGGAATGACAAGATAGTACTTTTGTACCTGCCTGGTAACCAAAGTACATACTGGTCTATGTTCTGGTCAACTGGTAGTTTACCTCCATGAGGAAGACTTTGTTCCTTTTGGCAGAGTTCAGAATCTCTTTCACCTCCTTCGTGTTCATGGCCAGCGGTTTCTCACACAGAACATTCTTCTTTGCATTCATGAAGAGCAGACAGGCCTTCAGATGGTATGGGTGGATGTTCCCAATATACACCACACCTATGCAAATATTAGAAAATGAAAGCCAGACAAAATGATAAAAGATAGAGTACTCAATTTTTCATAACATTTACTTTATGTACATCGACTAAACATAACCTCTGACAGATGAACACTGACCTACATCTGGATCTCTGGCCAGCTCCTCGTAGCTGCCGTAAGCCTTAGAGATGTTGTGTTTTATGGCAAATTCCTGAGCATCCTCCAATTTACGAGCTGCAACAGCCACAACCTGTAAAGTCACAGATGACATACATTAGTTCTAATTACTTTAGAGGTAAATTGTTATTTTTTATTAAGACAGCCATTCCATTTGATTAAAAATCGTGGAATCTGTTTTAAGGCCTTACATCTTTTTGGCACCCTCACTTGTCATCCAGCAGAGGGCATCATTCATATAAACTCACTTTGTTTTGTAGTTGGGGGAAAAAAAGTGACATTTGCCTGACTGGTAAAAATGCATGACTGAGACTGTTCAATTTAATTGTTCATTTCCAGTTCTTCTTAACTCCGAGACTCAGTGTCCAGAAGCAACTACATGCGTCCTATTCTGTGGAATACGGTAGGAAGTTTGGAAGCTTGGGAGTAAATTAAAATGCAAACGTTTTACAAAATCACTGACGATCGTCTGCTTCATTTAGACACGGCTCAACAACATGCGAGACTAATCTTTAAAAAATATATCTAACAAAAAGTACTAGGAGGAAGTTAAGTACTTGGAAGAACGTCACCGACACATACGGAAGCGTGTTTCATCTAAATCATACGGATTTAAGTCTCCTTTGCAGCAGATACACTAACCTGATGGTCTTCTGCAGGAAGAGTTTTCAGAGCCACTGTAAAGTCATGACTGATCTTGCCCGCGCTGCAGATTCCCCACCTGGTTGCCATGTTGTTCCAAAATGATTATCAGCAACGTCTACCGATTTCTGCCACACGGGGGCGAGAAAGGACTCATTCAAGATATTTGATTTGTGGCCAGACGAATACGCGCCAGATCAAAAAACCTCTTACGGTTGTTAAGAATTAAAAAGAGGAATAACTCTCACTCAGCACAGAGATTCGGACTTCTGCTGTAAAACAAACCATTTTATAGAATGTGTATACTCATTTAAATATATGCATTAGGAGGTGTGTTTTTTCCTTTGTGTGGGCTGTCTTAAATGTTAATTTTATTACCTCTGAGACCCACTGAAACACCCAGCTCTTCTCTTACCAGGCTCCTTTAGGCGATCTGATTTGCATCTGATCTGCAGGGTTATCTCTGCCTCAAAATGATTCAACAAGAAACCAGTTGGTGTTTTTTAAACAAACTCGCACAAACTGTATTGCTTAATACTAACTATAAGTTGGATCTAAAAAGTAACTAATTCAAAACATGCTTAAAGAAATATATTTAATTCTAATATAGATAAAATTATTTATAAAAAGTTTTAAGATCCTAGTGAACTTTTGAACCATGCTAAGGAATTTGTTAATTGCCTGGCAGACAGACTCCCTGTCAAAAGAGATTCTAGGCCTGTCTTTTCTGTAGAATCCTCCCTAAGAATTTATATAAGTTCAGAGATTCAGCAGTTGTTTTAGTTTGGATCTTTATCTAAATTTATGTGAACGTAGAGTGTACTTTAACTTTCTATGGTATATTTCATATGTATCAAAACTATCCTGTGCAGTATTGTGCTAATTTAAAATATTATTTCAACACGGTTTAATAAAGTAACTCTGCAAAGCCTGGTGATGTAAAGACTCATTATCATGTTCTGCAACCACCTGTGCAATGACATTTTTTTTAAACTTTAGACCAAGTTGGCTTATTTATATATAGTCAGGTAATTACCAATTTAAAGAAAATTGCAATTTTTCAGAAATGATATCTTGCTGCAATTCTTATAAAACAAAAGCAAAAACGAAGTCTCTATTGTCCACTTTTACGCAAATTAAAAATTGTAATATATTCAAGGAGCTGAACTGAAGAAAATCAGATTTGACATTTTCTAGAAATTGGCTATAGCATTTATTTCACATATTGTCAAAGATTTTACATTTCATTGTTGACTGTGCTCAGTGAGTTTCAATACATCTGTACACAAAGCTGGTGTGTAACATGTGAGATGACATAAGATAACAGCTTCATAACCTCTCTCATGTGGTTGAGAGGTCGTCTTGAGTGGTTTACATTTCAAAAATTTATAAGAAATTCATCAAAGTTGGAGGTCAAGCAGTGTTGTTTTCTGACAAAATTCTAAACATTTTTTAATCACGTGAACTATTCTTGAATTAACTAGTCTCCATTGTAAACTGGTTGTATTTAATCACAGCAGAAATGAGTCAAACTTTTACTGGCTGTCCTGGCTGTACACCACTCCCACCTGCCGGCGAATCTCATCCTCCATTTCAGCCAGCAGCAGAGAGTCAGCATGGGACATGACTGGACTCTCCTTCAGTCCTGCAAAGAGAAACATACTGATGAGTCAGCTGCTACAGACAAATTCTCCACAGAAGATCAGAGATGGGAAGAGCCCATGCAGTTTTACAAGACGTTAATTGTTCACCTCTTTAGTTATGTTCAAAAGAACATAACTAAAGTATTGACCTTTTGTCAATACTTCCTATTTTTCACATACACCCTACCACTGCATTGACCCCCAATCATTCCATATTTAATGACTAGTCCTGAGGTGTTTTTTTTTTTTTTTTTAATGCCTCAACTATACGATGTTTGTAACAAAATCCCTGAGGTGTTCTTACAACTCAGGGATTAGTAACCTTTATACTACTATTTCCAATAATAAAAAAAAGAAAATATTTGTCTTCATTACAAACATGAAGACAAAACATGTTGCCATCGCATATTTCTGCTATGACAGAAACATGCTCATGGAGAGTGAGAATGTATCAAATTGCTTATCATTTATCATGAAAAATGTTTCACGATAAGAATTTAGATGAATCAGGAATTACTTGAATTTTAGCCATGCAGCTAATGATACCAGACCTACAAAGTGCAAAATGTTGATGTCTCATTACCCTTGAGCAGACATTGGCGGACCTCCTCTGCTTCGTAACGCATCCCTGTGCTGTTGGTAAAGTTGAGAGGCAAGTAGGGTTCAGGTACCGGATAATGGGTCTCCTTCCCATTAACAACCAGTGATGTGGGGCACCACATATGTGAAAGGACCTGGAGCATATGCATCGGATTAATGTCAAAACAGTGTTTCATGACACTTCTCATTTCTTTTACATAAAACATTCACAATGGTCATTTTGAATTGTTGCCATGCCATCCTTGATAACCTACCTGGATTGTGCCCTTTGTACCACCAATAAATGCATCATTGTCCAGAAGACACCCAGAAGAGCAGCTGATTGTTGCCATTCTTTTTTCAGAATACTTTAGAATGGCAGTCACAGTCTCATCCACTCCTACAAGCATAAAAATGTACAACGCAGTGAAGAGACAAGATGCTAAAACTCAAAATGCAGCTGTAAAAGCTGAAAATAAAGAGTTGTAAGCTAATTTACAGTTTTTACAGGGTCCATCAAGAGGAGAAAATAGCTTTGGGAACTTTCTAATTGGATCACATTTCTTTTATATCAGACTTGTAAATGAAATTATAAATTTTCTTAGTCTGACCTGAAGTACTTATTAATTATAATGTCTGATGGTTAGTTTACATTTTCAAGAAATTTATAGACAGCTCAAGGTTTGTGTGAAAACTCAAAATACATCAATCTGACTTTTCTATTAAAAACCAAACTACTACCGGAAATAGTAGTTTGGTTCTTACTTTTGAAACATTTAATAAACATGGGGGAAATATGTTTTAGAATTTGACTAATCAAATCAGTTTTCCTCTTCAATATTCATCCCAGGAGGAATCTGCATACAATTACATAAATCTTAACTCAATTGAATGTAAAGTTGTATCTCACATAATGTCACTCAGTTGGCACAGCATCTGAGGTTACATGAATGCCTTATCCTGCTAACTCCTTACCCGTCTCCAGTAAGGCCCCGCTGGCTTGGATACTCTCCGGCTTCTCTCCTTTGTACACCATATTTATGAATTGAAGGCAGTAGATACCAAGATCTAGTAATGCTCCTCCACCGAGGTCCTTCTGAACTGCTCTTGGCACGTGCAACAGTGGCACACCAAAGTTTGCACGGACCATCTTCACCTCCCCTATGTACTGCTGAGCCAGCAGCCTTCTGATCTCTACAGAGACCGGGAAAAACCGTGTCCACACAGCCTGCAGAGAAAACATGTTTTAAATCGTTTAACTTTTGATGGTTTTCAAGTGTGCAATAGTAAATAGTAAAGGAATTCATTTTTTTTTTCTTTCTTCTTTGCGACATGCTTACCTCCATGAGGAAGACGTCATTCTTTTTGGCAGAGTCCAGAATCTCTTTCACTTCCTTGACGTTCATGGCCAGTGGCTTCTCACACAGAACATTCTTTTTAGCATTTGTGAAAAGTTTACAGGCCTGCAGATGGTACGGGTGGATGACTCCAACATACACAACATCTGCACACAGGTCAAACAACTCTGACTGACATGCTTCAATTTCTTTCAGAAATAACAGTATGAAATATTAAGAGAAAATACAAATTGGATGTAAGAAAACATTTAATATAAAGCAGGAGACAAAATTAAAAATAAACTGAAAAAGTTCTGGCAGATTGACACTGACCAATGTCTGGATCTCTGGCCATCTCCTCATAGCTGCCATAAGCCTTAGAGATGTTGTGTTTTATGGAAAATGCTTGAGCATCCTCCAATTTACGAGCTGCAACAGCCACAACCTGTAAAGTCACAGATATACAATAATTCTAAATACTTTAGAGGTAAATTATTTTTTATCAAGAGTCATTCCATTGGATTAAAAATCCTCCAATCTGTTTTTAGGCCTTACATCTTTTTGGCACTCACTTGTCATCCAGAAGAGGGCATCTTCATATAAACTCACTTTGTTTTGTAGTTGGGGGGGAAAAAAAGTAACTTTTGCCCGACTGGTAAAAATGCATGACAGACTGTTCAAGTTAATTGTTCATTTCCAGTTTTCAACTCCTAGACTCAGTTTCCAGAAGCAACTGAGTCTAGTATTCTGTGGAATACGGTTAAGTTTGGAAGCTTAAAATGCAAGTGTTTTACAAAAATCACTGACGATCGTCTGCTTCATTTAAACACAACTCAAAACATGCAAGACCACTTTAAAAAATATATATCTTACAAAAAGTAGGAGGAGGGAGTTAAGTACTTGGAAGAACGGCGACGTTCTTCCAAGTACTAGATCGAGGCGTGTTCCATCTAAATCACACGGATTTATGTCTCCGTTGCAGCAGACACACTAACCTGATGGTCTTCTACAGGAAGAGTTTTCAGAGCCACAGTAAAATCATGGCTTATCTTGCCCGCGCTGCAGATCCCCCACCTTGTAGCCATGTTGTCCCAAAATGATTGTCGTGAACGTTTCCCGTTTTCTGCCACATGGGGCGCCAAAGCACTCATTTAAGACTTGAGTTTAGGCCTTTAAGAGTTACACAAGATAAAAAATACTCGATGGTTTAATGAAATAACTCTGCAAAGCCAAGTGACGTTGACTCATCGTCATGTTCTGCAAGCACTATTCTTTTAACTTAAGACCAGGTTGGTTTATGAATATTGTCTCATAATTACCAATTTTAAGAAAATTGCATTTCAGAAACTTGATATAATTTATAAAACTAAACCAAAAACCAAGTCTCTATAGTCTGCTTTTAGACAAACCAACACATTCAAGGACATACACACCTACCACATATATAGTTGAATAAACTTACTTTACAAATGGGTTAAAGAAAAACACTTGCCATTTTTTTCAGAAATTTGCTAATACATTTATTTCAGATTGTCAATGTTAATACATTTCATTGTTGACAGTTTCAGTACATCTGTGTACAAAGCTGGTGTGCAACATGTAAATATAAGAACAGTTTCCTAATCCTTCTCATGTGGTTGAGAGAGGTCATCTTGGGTGTTTTGTTTGTTTTTCTTAAGTTACTCAAAGTTGGAGGTCAAACAGTGTTTTCCTACAAAAATAAATGCTTAACCACATTAACTATTCTTGAAGTAAATTGAGTAAGTTCATCTCCATTGTAAACTGGTTGTATTTAATCACAGCAGAACTGACTCAAACTTTTGCTGGCTGTCCTGGCTGTATACCACTCCCACCTGCCGGCGAATCTCATCCTCCATTTCAGCCAGCAGCAGAGAGTCAGCATGGGACATGACTGGACTCTCCTTCAGTCCTGCAAAGAGAAACATACTGATGAGTCAGCTGCTACAGACAAATTCTCCACAGAAGATCAGAGATGGGAAGAGCCCATGCAGTTTTACAAGACGTTAATTGTTCACCTCTTTAGTTATGTTCAAAAGAACATAACTAAAGTATTGACCTTTTGTCAATACTTCCTATTTTTCACATACACCCTACCACTGCATTGACCCCCAATCATTCCATATTTAAAGGCTAGTCCTGAGGTGTTTTTTTTTTTTTTTTAATGCCTCAACTATACAATGTTTGTAACAAAATCCCTGAGGTGTTCTTACAACTCAGGGATTAGTGTAACCTTTATACTAGTATTTCCAATAATAAAAAAAAGAAAATATTTGTCTTCATTACAAACATGAAGACAAACATGTTGCCATCGCATATTTCTGCTATGACAGAAACATGCTCATGGAGAGTGAGAATGTATCAAATTGCTTATCATTTATCATGAAAAATGTTTCACGATAAGAATTTAGATGAATCAGGAATTACTTGAATTTTAGCCATGCAGCTAATGATACCAGACCTACAAAGTGCAAAATGTTGATGTCTCATTACCCTTGAGCAGACATTGGCGGACCTCCTCTGCTTCGTAACGCATCCCTGTGCTGTTGGTAAAGTTGAGAGGCAAGTAGGGTTCAGGTACCGGATAATGGGTCTCCTTCCCATTAACAACCAGTGATGTGGGGCACCACATATGTGAAAGGACCTGGAGCATATGCATCGGATTAATGTCAAAACAGTGTTTCATGACACTTCTCATTTCTTTTACATAAAACATTCACAATGGTCATTTTGAATTGTTGCCATGCCATCCTTGATAACCTACCTGGATTGTGCCCTTTGTACCACCAATAAATGCATCATTGTCCAGAAGACACCCAGAAGAGCAGCTGATTGTTGCCATTCTTTTTTCAGAATACTTTAGAATGGCAGTCACAGTCTCATCCACTCCTACAAGCATAAAAATGTACAACGCAGTGAAGAGACAAGATGCTAAAACTCAAAATGCAGCTGTAAAAGCTGAGAATAAAGAGTTGTAAGCTAATTTACAGTTTTTACAGGTCCATCAAGAGGAGAAATAGCTTTGGGAACTTTCTAATTGGATCACATTTCTTTTATATCAGACTTGTAAATGAAATTATAAATTTTCTTAGTCTGACCTGAAGTACTTATTAATTATAATGTCTGATGGTTAGTTTACATTTTCAAGAAATTTATAGACAGCTCAAGGTTTGTGTGAAAACTCAAAATACATCAATCTGACTTTTCCTATTAAAAACCAAACTACTACCGGAAATAGTAGTTTGTTTTACTTACTTTTGGAAACATTTAAAACATGGGGGAAATATGTTTTTAGAATTTGACTAATCAAATCAGTTTTCCTCTTCAATATTCATCCCAGGAGGAATCTGCATACAATTACATAAATCTTAACTCAATTGAATGTAAAGTTGTATCTCACATAATGTCACTCAGTTGGCACAGCCTCTGAGGTTACATGAATGCCTTATCCTGCTAACTCCTTACCCGTCTCCAGTAAGGCCCCGCTGGCTTGGATACTCTCCGGCTTCTCTCCTTTGTACACCATATTTATGAATTGAAGGCAGTAGATACCAAGATCTAGTAATGCTCCTCCACCGAGGTCCTTCTGAACTGCTCTTGGCACGTGCAACAGTGGCACACCAAAGTTTGCACGGACCATCTTCACCTCCCCTATGTACTGCTGAGCCAGCAGCCTTCTGATCTCTACAGAGACCGGGAAAAACCGTGTCCACACAGCCTGCAGAGAAAAACATGTTTTAAATCGTTTAACTTTTGATGGTTTTCAAGTGTGCAATAGTAAATAGTAAAGGAATTCATTTTTTTTTCTTTCTTCTTTGCGACATGCTTACCTCCATGAGGAAGACATCATTCTTTTTGGCAGAGTCCAGAATCTCTTTCACTTCCTTGACGTTCATGGCCAGTGGTTTCTCACACAGAACATTCTTTTTAGCATTTGTGAAAAGTTTACAGGCCTGCAGATGGTACGGGTGGATGACTCCAACATACACAACATCTGCACACAGGTCAAACAACTCTGACTGACATGCTTCAATTTCTTTCAGAAATAACAGTATGAAATATTAAGAGAAAATACAAATTGGATGTAAGAAAACATTTAATATAAAGCAGGAGACAAAATTAAAAATAAACTGAAAAAGTTCTGGCAGATTGACACTGACCAATGTCTGGATCTCTGGCCATCTCCTCATAGCTGCCATAAGCCTTAGAGATGTTGTGTTTTATGGAAAATGCTTGAGCATCCTCCAATTTACGAGCTGCAACAGCCACAACCTGTAAAGTCACAGATATACAATAATTCTAAATACTTTAGAGGTAAATTATTTTTTATCAAGAGTCATTCCATTGGATTAAAAATCCTCCAATCTGTTTTTAGGCCTTACATCTTTTTGGCACTCACTTGTCATCCAGAAGAGGGCATCTTCATATAAACTCACTTTGTTTTGTAGTTGGGGGGGGAAAAAAGTAACTTTTGCCCGACTGGTAAAAATGCATGACAGACTGTTCAAGTTAATTGTTCATTTCCAGTTTTCAACTCCTAGACTCAGTTTCCAGAAGCAACTGAGTCTAGTATTCTGTGGAATACGGTTAAGTTTGGAAGCTTAAAATGCAAGTGTTTTACATAAATCACTGACGATCGTCTGCTTCATTTAAACACAACTCAAAACATGCAAGACCACTTTAAAAATATATATATCTACAAATAGTAGGAGGGAGTTAAGTACTTGGAAGAACGGCGACGTTCTTCCAAGTACTAGATCGAGGCGTGTTCCATCTAAATCACACGGATTTATGTCTCCGTTGCAGCAGACACACTAACCTGATGGTCTTCTACAGGAAGAGTTTTCAGAGCCACAGTAAAATCATGGCTTATCTTGCCCGCGCTGCAGATCCCCCACCTTGTAGCCATGTTGTCCCCAAAATGATTGTCGTGAACGTTTCCCGTTTTCTGCCACATGGGGCGCCAAAGCACTCATTTAAGACTTGAGTTTAGGCCTTTAAGAGTTACACAAGATAAAAAATACTCGATGGTTTAATGAAATAACTCTGCAAAGCCAAGTGACGTTGACTCATCGTCATGTTCTGCAAGCACTATTCTTTTAACTTAAGACCAGGTTGGTTTATGAATATTGTCTCATAATTACCAATTTTAAGAAAATTGCATTTCAGAAACTTGATATAATTTATAAAACTAAACCAAAAACCAAGTCTCTATAGTCTGCTTTTAGACAAACCAACACATTCAAGGACATACACACCTACCACATATATAGTTGAATAAACTTACTTTACAAATGGGTTAAAGAAAAACACTTGCCATTTTTTTCAGAAATTTGCTAATACATTTATTTCAGATTGTCAATGTTAATACATTTCATTGTTGACAGTTTCAATACATCTGTGTACAAAGCTGGTGTGCAACATGTAAATATAAGAACAGTTTCCTAATCCTTCTCATGTGGTTGAGAGAGGTCATCTTGGGTGTTTTTTGTTTGTTTTTCTTAAGTTACTCAAAGTTGGAGGTCAAACAGTGTTTTCCTACAAAAATAAATGCTTAACCACATTAACTATTCTTGAAGTAAATTGAGTAAGTTCATCTCCATTGTAAACTGGTTGTATTTAATCACAGCAGAACTGACTCAAACTTTTGCTGGCTGTCCTGGCTGTATACCACTCCCACCTGCCGGCGAATCTCATCCTCCATTTCAGCCAGCAGCAGAGAGTCAGCATGGGACATGACTGGACTCTCTTTCAGTCCTGCAAAGAGAAACATACTGATGAGTCAGCTGCTACAGACAAATTCTCTACAGAAGTTCAGAGATAAGAGCTTATGCAGTTTTACAAGATGCTAATTGTTAAGCTTTTTAGTTATGTTCTTGTTCAAGCTTTTCTCAATACTTTCCATTTTTCACATACACCCTCCTGCCACATTAAACCAAGCATTCCATATTTCATGACCATTCCTGAAATGCATTTTTTTAATGCCTCAGCTATATGATGTTTGCAACGAAGTACATGACTTCACACAAAGACCTGAACTCATTGTTATTTATTGGATATGTACAACACCCAATAATTAACAAAAAACATTTATGTGGGTAAATCCAAAAAAAATCTCAGTGTCTTCTTACAACTCAGGTATTAGTGTATCCTTTACACTAGTTTTAAAGAAAAAAAAAAAAAAAAGTTAATCGCTGTTCTCCATCAACATGTGTCTAATAGCAGTGTCAAAAATGTTTCAGAATAAAAATTTAGATTCATCAACTTCCTTAAAAAAAACTGAGATGAGAAATGTTATTTCGGTTTTTCTCTACTGTTTATCATTACATATTAGCAGAGCTACTTGATTCTTACAAAGCAGTTAATCCAGGAAACTCATTGATTTTTGTCAGTGGTTCGCCCCCAGCAATACAAGGTTGTAGACATTAGCTTCAGTACAAATACCAAGTAGGTTTCCATGGTGCATTTTAGTGCAGGTATATTTGGTGTTTGAACTATTCCAATAGGCAGTTATAGTAGCTTTTGGAGGGAACCCAGGAATTTATGGATTTTAGCCATTTGTGGACAGCTTGGGTCACAAACACCTCAAATACTGTTTTGGTTGCAACAATTGTTAGCTACTCAATATCCCTCATAGAGTAGGAATACTCAATAAGGAGTATTCCTTATTGAGTATATTTTGGAACACTTTGTATTTAGACAACATTGTTTTACAAGTGGAGAAACGTGCTACATTTAATTTTTTAAAAATGTAGATCAATAATTGACAGGTAGATCTTCCAAACCATTGCAAAATATTTAGCACTTTCATTATAAATTATGTACGTGACAGGGCATTTGTATAGCCACCACTATAATGAACAGTGACTCAGCTCAGCTGAATCTTCTCTGCTTGAAATTCTGAAACTGTTTTGACAGAAGCCATCCAAAATCCACAAATTATTCTTCAGTTTTGTTTTTCATTAAACAGAAACGCTAGCTTCAATCACAGCATCAACTTCTGTGATGGTCCTGGAGAGCAGGGGGTTCTGGAATCTTGGAGGTTCTGCAGCTAATGTTACCAGATCTACACAGAGTGCAAAATGTTGTCTCATTACCCTTGAGCAGACATTGGCGGACCTCCTCTGCTTCGTAACACATCCCTGTGCTGTTGGTAAAGTTGAGAGGCAAGTAGGGTTCAGGTACTGGATACTGGGTCTCCTTCCCATTAACAACCAGTGACGTGGGGCACCACATAGGTGAAAGGACCTGGAGCATGTGAAGTAAAAATTGTATCATTTCTTTTAAGAATTTTATTTTAATTCTTTAGTCATTCAACACTAGTATTGTTTAGTCTGTTAAACCGTGTAGGTCAAGGAGTCTTTGAAGAATCAGATAGGTTTCCTTTTGACCTCTCCTTGGAAAAGTTCCAATAGGTTATCAGTGACTAAAATAAGGCACCAGTGTTTAACAGATAACAATAAACAGGTTAGGTAATTGTAGTGAGATGGAATAAACCCTAAGGCTCAACAAATTCCTGCATTAGATGTCACAAGCAAAGGCTACAAAGTCTGATAATGTTCTTGTTATGCAAAATTGTTCCATTAGTAAATCTGATTTTTGGAAATGCACCTATTTTTGAACAAAGATGTTTATCATCTGAACAATTAACTTACCCTAAGGATGGAATGCACTCTCTCTATACCCTGTTAAGAGTGACTGTGCATTAACCTGTTCGACTGGAATTGGCTCTGGGCCAGGGAGTGACCACATTGTATATAGAGTCCTATATATTGTGAGAGCTTGCAGCTCCAAGTCAGAACTCATTGTAGGTACAGCTGTTGTGCTGTGGTTACTGTGTGTTCTCTGTTTGCAAACGACTGAAATAAAGATTTTGCTCTTTGCCATTTGCCAGAGTCTCAAGCCTGATCTGTTACTACAGATTAGATTTTGTTTTTTCCACAAGCATATGCATAGATTAATGTCAAAACAGTGTTTGATGATGCTTCAATTTCTTCTACATAAAACACTTGCACTGACATACACAATGGTCTTTCTGAATTGTTGCCATGCCATCCTTGATAACCTACCTGGATTGTGCCCTTTGTCCCACCAATAAGTGCATCATTAAGCAGCTGGTACCCAGCAGAGCAGCTGATTGTTGCTATTCTGTTTTTAGAATACTTTAGAATGGCAATCACAGTCTCATCCACTCCTATGATATACAACACAGCATAGAGAAAAGATGTCAAAACTCAAAATGCAGCTGTAAAAGCTGAAAATTAAGAGTTGTAAGCTAATTTAGTTTCAACAAGGTTTATCAGGAGGAGAAAATGGCTTTGGGAAACATTCTAATTGGATGACATTTCTTTTATAATCAGCCTTCTATGGTATGAAATGATCCATTTTCTAAGTCTGACCTGATGTACTTATTTTAATGTGTGATGGTTAATTTACATTTTCTTTGCAACTACAGTAGGGAATTATTTTCTGTTACAAAGCCAGAAAAAAAAAACTCCTATGGAAAATGGGAGTTTAGTTCCTACAGGGCCGAAACATTTTAGAATTTGACTAATCAAATCAGACAATTAGGTAAACATTTTCTGATTTCAATTCTTGACAAGTTGATCAGAGTCTCCACACAAAATGTAATAAAAGCAGCTTTTCTTTTAAATATTCATCCATGAGGAATCTGCACACAATTACATAAATCTTAACTCACTTTAATGTAAAGTTGTATCTCGCATCATGTCACTCAGTTGGCACAGCCTCTGAGGTTACATGAATGCCTTATCCTGCTAACTCCTTACCCGTCTCCAGGCAGAACCCGCTGGCTTGGATACTCTCCGGCTTCTCTCCTTTGTACACCATATTTATGAATTGAAGGCAGTAGATACCAAGATCTAGTAATGCTCCTCCACCGAGGTCCTTCTGAACTGCTCTTGGCACGTGCAACAGTGGCACACCAAAGTCTGCACGGACCATCTTCACCTCCCCTATGTACTGCTGAGCCAGCAGCCTTCTGATCTCCACAGAGACCGGGAAAAACCGTGTCCACACAGCCTGCAGAGAAAACGTGTTTTAAATCGTTTAACTTTTGATGGTTTTCAAGCATGTAATGGTAAACCGTATACAGAGGAATTCATTACTTTCTTCCTGGTTTGCGACATACTTACCTCCATGAGGAAGACATCATTCTTTTTGGCAGAGTCCAGAATCTCTTTCACTTCCTTGACATTCATGGCCAGTGGCTTCTCACACAGAACATTCTTTTTAGCATTTATGAAAAGTTTACAGGCCTGCAGATGGTACGGGTGGATGACTCCAACATACACAACATCTGCACACAGGTCAAACAACTCTGACTGACATGCTTCAATTTCTTTCAGAAATAACAGTATGAAATATTAAAAGAAAATAAGAACTAAATATAAGGAAACCTGTACCATAAAACAGGAGGTATTGTAAAGTTCAAAACTAAAACTTAACTGAACAACCTCTGGCAGATTGACACTGACCTATGTCTGGATCTCTGGCCAGCTGTTCATAGCTGCCATAAGACCTAGGGATGTTGTGTTTTACAGCAAATTGCTCAGCGTCCTCCAATTTACGAGCTGCAACAGCCACAACCTGTAAAGTCACAGATGACATAAAATAATTCTAAATACATTAAAGTTTTTTTTTTTTTTTTTAAATGAAGCCAGCCATTCCACTTGATTAAAAATCTTGCACAAGTAATGTGTTTTTAGGCCTTACATCTTTTTGGCAGTTTCACTTGTCAGCAGGGGGCATCATTCATATAGACAAATTTTTGTAGTTGGGGAGGAGGGGCGGGTAACGTTTGCCTACTTGGTAAAATGCATGACTCAGATTGTTCAATTTAATTGTTCATTTCCAGTTCTTTGTAACTCCCAGACTTTTTTCAGAAACTACATGGTTTCTACCGTGGTATACAGTAGAAGGTTTGGCAGGTAATCAAAATGGAAACAATTTCCAAAATCATTGATGTTGTCTTCTCCATTTAGTCAAGGCTCAACATCATGCATGCTTAATTCATAAAAACTCTTACCAAAAAAAGAAAAGTAATAGGAGGCTGTTAAGTACATGGAAGAATGTTACTCCACCACATATGGAGGCACATTTAATCCAAGTCACACATTGGCAGGCACACTCACCGAATGGTCTTCTGCAGGAAGAGTTTTCAGAGCCACAGTAAAGTCGTGACTGCTCTTGCCTGCGCTGCAGATTCCCCACTTGGTAGCCCTGGTGCTCCAAAATGATCAGGAACAGAAGTTAGTCTCCATTGTAAACCGGTTACATATAATCATAGCATGAATAAGTCAAACTTTTACCTTAAGTTCTGGTTGTACACCATTCCCACCTGCCGGCGGATCTCATCCTCCATTTCAGCCAGCCGCAGAGTATAAGCAAGAGGTATGATTGGACTCTCCTTCAGCCCTGCAAAGAGAAACATTCTGATTAGTCAGCTGCTGCAAACACAAATGCTCCACACAAGTTCAGTGATGGGAAGTGCTTATGCAGTTTTACAAGATGTTAATTGTTCACCTTTTTAGTCATGTTCACACAAACTTTTGTCAATACTTCTGATTTTTCCTTCTCCCCCACCCTCCATACACCCTCCTGCTGCACTGAACCCCAAACATCCCATATTTAATGACTAGGCCTTAAGTGTTTTTTTTTTAATGACTCAGCTATACGATGCAGCTAATGTTACCGGACCTCCAGAGTGTAAAATGCTGCTTCGTATTACCCCCGATCAGACAGCAGCGGACCTCATCTGCTTCATAATGCTTCTCAGGGCAGTTGGCGAATTTGAGACGGAAGGTGGTTTCAGTGTCTTGATTCTGGGGATCCTTCCTAACAACAACCAGTGATGTGGGGCACCATATAGGTGAAAGGACCTGGAGCATGTGCAATCCGATTAATGTCAAAATAGTGTTTGACAACACTTCTAATTTCTTCTACATAAAAGACTTGCACTACTAAACATACACAATGGTCTTTTTGAATTGTTGCCATGCCATCCTTGATAACCTACCTGGATTGTGCCTTTTGTCCCAATAATAGTGGCATCATTGGGCAGCTTGACCACAGCAGAGCAGCTGACTATCGCCATTCTGTTTCTAGAATACTTCAAAATGACAGTCACAGTCTCATCCACTCCTATGAGGATATATAACAACACATAGAGAAAAGAGGCTAAATCTCAAAATGCAGCTGGAAAAGCTGAAAATAAAGCATTGCCCTAATGTACCCATTTATTTTACATATGATAAACAATTGTTAATTTACATTTTCTTCACTTTAAAAGAAGGATGTTTTTACATTAAGTTTTCTGGCATTTCAACACTCTGAGCAGAAAAATGTTGGAAAAGATATGCAAATTAATTACAGAAATAAAGCTTTAAAAAATGTATAATCTCTCAAGGTTTGTGTGAAAACTGAAGATGCACCAATCTGACTTTTCCTATAAAAAAAACTTATTGAAAAAGGCAGTTAGTCGCTTACTTTTGAAACATTTAATAAACGTGGGGAAAACATGAAAGAATTTGACTAATCAAATCAGAGACAATTAAGTAAACATTTTCTGATTTCAATACTTGAGAAGTTCAGCGAGTCTCAACACAAAATAAAAAGCAGCTTTTCTCTTCAATATTGATCTCCGGAGGAATCTGCACACAATTATATAAATCTTAATTTACTTCAATGTAAAATAGTATCTCACATAATGTCACTCATTTGGCACAGCCTTTGAGGTTACATGAATGCCTCATCTTGTTAACTCCTTACCCGTTTCCTGGCAGACTCCACTGGCTTGGATACTCTCCGGCTTCTCTCCGTTGTACACCACATTTATGAGTTGAAGGCAGTAGATACCAAGATCCAGCAATGCTCCACCGAGGCCCTTCTTAACTGATCTTTGCACGTGCAACAGCGGCACACCATAGTCCGCACGAACCATCTTCACCTCCCCTATGTACTGCTTGTCCAAAAGCCTTCTTATGTCTATAGTGGCCTGGGTAAATCGGGTCCACACAGCCTGGAGAGAAAACATGTTTCAAACCGTTTAACATTTGAAGATCTTCAAGCATGTAATGGTAAACTGTATACAGAGGAATTCATTTTTTTCTTCCTGGTTTGCGACATACTTACCTCCACGAAGAAGACATTATTCCTTCTGGCAGACACCACAATCTCTCTCACTTCTTTGAGGTCCATGGCCAGTGGTGTCTCACACAGAACATTCTTTTTAGCATTTGTGAAAAGTTTACAGGCCTGCAGATGGTACGGGCGGATGACTCCAACATACACAACATCTGCACACAGGTCAAACAACTCTGACTGACATGCTTCAATTTCTTTCAGAAATAACAGTATGAAATATTAAAAGAAAATTTAACCTGGATAACAGAAAATATAGAGCAGAAGGCATTAAGTTTTAAAATAAATAAACTGAAAAATCTCTGGCAGATGGACACTGACCTACGTCTGGGTCTCTGGCCAGCTCCTCATAGCTGCCATAAGCCTTAGGGATGTTGTGTATCGTGGCAAATCCCTGAGCATCCTGCAATCTACAAGATGCAACAGCCACAACCTGCAGATACAGTCAGTTACACTACAACCACCTTCCTGAGGATTTCTACACATGGTAAGAGTATTAAGTTTAATTGAAATATGACATTTGGACATGACAGACAATATTTCATAACAAAATGTTCTTTTGTTACTTTCACAGCACATTGCAACAGCCTACTTGACCTCTGTCACAATTTATTATGCCACAACAATAAATGTTTAGCCATTTTATATAAAACATGGGCCATAACTATGCAGTGGATGCACTGCACATTTCTTTTAGTGTCCTCTTAAAAAAAAAAATCCTTAAACAACTTTCTTTCACAAGATGAAAGTCTTAAGGAAGACTTCGATTTAAAGAGGATCTCTCTCTCTATATAATATATATATATATATATATATATATATATATATATATATATATATATAAAGGAGGAACGTCCCGGGGTCTAAAACTCCAGTCCTCGAGGGCCGCAGTCCTGCAACTTTTAGATGTGGCTCTGCTTCACCACACCTGAACACAATAATTAGGTCGTTAGCACGAACCGGAGCTCTTATCTACATAGGGAGGAGGTAATTAAGCCAATTCAGTCCAGCGTTTTGTACCTGTGGCACATCTAAAAACTGCAGGACTGCGGCCCCCGAGGACTTGAGTTTGAGACCCCTGGCAGATGCTCCCATATTGCATACTTTGCTGTGAAAGAGTAAGAGCGTCTAAATAAATGTTGTCGACGCCCTGGAATTTGCAACTCACAACTCTGACATCTCCTGCATTCAAATTTGAAGCCTGTCTGTTTGTCTCGGAAGCAGTTTCTTCTTCTTTTTTTTTTTTTTTTTTTTTTTTGCAGAACTTAGAACAACTGCAGAAAAGTCCCGACATAATGCTTTGCACCGAAAGATAGTGTGTGATTTTCACTGTAGTTCAACAAACCCACCTGATGCTCTTCTGCAGAGCGAGTTTTCAGAGCCACGGTGAAGTCATCACTGAGCTTCCCTGCGCTGCAGATTCCCCACTTGGTTGCCATGTTGAATCAAGTGTCCTCAGCTGTCTCTACCCTCGCAAGACAGCGCCGACTGAAGGACGCTGTAGTTCGTGTTCCCCGTCACCAGATGGCGATAGAGCGCCAATTTTCCTTTTATATGGTCGGTTTTCTCGTAACGTCACACTAATAATCAAATATCGACTTACACGTGCGTTTAATTCGTGATTTGCGTGAATGCGTGGCCGCTTGGAAACCATTCCAGGCAAATCGATTGATTGACTGGTTAAACTGAACTGGATTATCACTATTTGTGCGCAAACTTTATCAGCTTACAGGCAATTTTGAATGCATTTAATCATCAACTTAATTGGAAAACTTTGTGGTTAATGGAAGATTGAACCAGTTATTTGATGGATGGAAGTTTATCCTGTGTAAATTGTAAATAATTTTTCCAACTACAATACAAATCACCTTTTGCTCTATTTTTCTGTCTCTAGTGTGTTAAATCAACCCTGATCCTCCCTGAGTTTTATCTTTAGGTTTTCTGATAAACAGCTCTTTATTTTAAATATTGATTGCTCATTTTAACATGAGTGCATCATCATAAATGTTACACTATGCTGCAGCTTGATACATAAATGTAATTGTATATTTCAGCTAACATTAAGATACATATTAATGAATATTCATTAGAATGTCCTTATTAATTTAATGTCGAGTGAACATGAGGAACTGGATGCTTTGTGTTTGTTCTCAGACCTATAACCAGGACACTACTTAATATTTCAGTTTCTTTCTTAACTTTTCAAATGTTTATGATCTTTCTAACCGATGCCTTTCTCACTCTTTATTTTTGTGTTTTTCAGCTGCTACTCATTAGTTTGACCTAAAGCTGACTGTCATGGACTGCATAAATAAGGAAGGCATCACAAGGAACCAAAGTGATGCCAATCAGAGTCAAACTAGTGTTACCACAACTTGTAATGTTTTCCTGGTTCATACAGTTCAAAGCTTAACCTCATGGACACTGTTCTTCCATGGACAGTAGACTTGTTCTCACAGAGAAAAAGGAGTCAAATATGTTTAAAGATCTATCCGTCTTTTCCAAAATAAAATGTTATATCAATGCCATGTTGTCATTGTCAACATTTTGTACACACATTTTTGGAAATGTTAATGCAAGACATATACTCATGATACCCATCTGCTAATAAAAGTGTGTTTAACACCAGTGAAGTAATTTTTAGCACTATGTTATGATGTAGACCTATCAGACCAAAAATGTACATAAATTCTTAGCTTTCATTCAATATAAAATGAACACAAATACTTCAACATTGATTCAATCTAAAATCAACATAAATCTGCACGCAGATACACAGTCAAATGATGTTTGAATAAGAATTGACTCAATGTAATAACACAAATCTGCGTGAAAATCCACGTTCAAATGATGGTTGAATCAACATTTATTCAATGTAAAATCAACATAAATATGCATGCAAATTGACATCGAGACAATGGCTGAATCAACACTGATATAATGTCAGTTATGGTTGAAATCCTAACGGTGATTCAACATGCAAGTCACCAACCATTTTCAAATCCGTTTCAATGCCAGGCTTCAGCATAGATTCAGTGTCTCTGCCTGACATTGTTTCACCGTTGTTTCACTCATTGTGCTATCTGGGATCTTACAATGAATACTTTGTTTATCTAGAAAGGACACAAATAAGAATTTAATGATGCTGGAGCTCAATACAGTTGATCTACATGTTTATTAAATATAATATTTAATCATAGTTAATATTTTGATTAAATATGTTCTTTTATCTATCTATAAATCAGTCATGTGTTCCAATATACTCATTACAAAAAAAAATTTTTTGTGACAATCCAGAGGCAACAAAATTATTTATGAAGAATTCAGACAGTTCACATAGTTATTCTAATCTATTGATTGTGGTAGTAAACCCCAAACAAAATGACTGTGTTCAGGCTTTTGTGTGATCTGTTTATTCTAACAATCCAAACCCTGCCTCAAGCAACCCCCTTTTGACCCTTCTAAGGCAAAAGGGGGTTCACTGTAGGAGAGGAAGAATTCACTTCTATGGACTGATGTCATTTTCTGTCCTGGCTGAAGACAACTCCCACTTGTTTCCTGATTTCATCCATGATTTCTGTCAGTAGGATGGAATCAGCCAGAGGCATCCGTGGGCTCTCCTTAAGTCCTGCACAGGCGAGCAAAGTGAGACAGAAACACAGCAAAATTTATGTACATATTCATAATGAAGCGCAGAGTGTGGTAAAGCAGGGATAAAAAGATTATGCAAATGGGAAGAAGGGGTAAAAAACAAGCATCTAATAATAACATACTGTAGAGGACACTAAGGACAGAAAGCAGAAACCAGACTGATCCAGAAAGATAGGTAACATAGTGTATGATTTTTCATCTTATGTTTCTTCAGGAGCCTCCAAAAATGCAACTATTTCACTGAATTGCAGTGTTCTTTGAAACAGTGTTTGAGCCATTCAAACCTTGTAATCTTTTGAAGACAAATGCACACCTTCCCTTTCATCCTGACCTACCTTTTAACAGGCACTGTCTCACTTCCTCTGCCTCGTATCGAAGCCCAGTGCTGTTGGTGAAGTTCAGAGGAAGGCACGGTTCAGGCAGAGGGTACTCTGTCTTCTTGTCATTCAGCAGCAGAGTGGTAGGGCAGTGCATTGGCCCAAGCACCTAAAGGGAACAGACCAGGTGCTTTTTTAACAGGTGCTTTTTTAACAATCCAGACTTAACAAAGTTATCAGATAATTGTCTCAAATCTTCTACTTGATTTTTCAAGAAAGTTATTTTAAATTTGTTTTTGCATATGCATTATTTCTTAATTAAGTTAAATGGCTCTGCGCAGTGTTGGTAAAACGTACTTTAATAGAACCTTTGGTGCCACTGATGACGGCATCGTTTGAAAAACGAGCAGCTATTGAAAAGGCACAGAGGGCCATCCTCTTTCTGGAAAATTTCATAACAACAACCACAGACTCATCCACTCCTGCCAAAAATATAAAAACAAATTTAGATACTTACAGTGACATACAAAAAGCATTAAAATGCTTTCAGTGCACAATTCTCGCATGATTGTTTCTTATTTTCAAAGAGACTGACTGCAATCAATGTAAATAGCAGATTAATTCTAAAAAGGGCAGAAAATAAAATCTCCCTAGTTCAAAGTTGACTTTAACAAAGCCAAACCATATTAGGTTTAAGAAGTAGATTGAAAATGACAAACTAGAAGAGCAAAGAGGGAATACAAATGAAAACAGCAATGACAATCAACAAAATATATTATTATTATTGTTATTATTATTATTATTATTATTATTATTATTATTATTATTATTATTATTATTATTATTATTATTATTATTATTATTACTACTACTACTACTACTACTACTACTAATAATAATAATAATAATATGAATTAATTGATTCAGCTTAATTTTTTTTTTTGTAATAATCAGAAGGTTTGAAGTTTTCCCCCCCAGATAAACAGTATAACTGTTCTGCTGTGGGCATTTGGATTAGATTTAATGATGATAAATCTTGGATTCTCTGTTAAAACTATTACACCGTGGAGTGTTTACTCTGAAGTTTATGTGTAAGTAACTTTTATGTGTCACTCAGGGATTTTTCACTCCCACTTCAGTCATGCTCAGTTTGCGATTAATAATAATAAAGTACATCCCACGCCCTCCTGCAAGTCCTGTATGCTGAAAATTACCCGAGTCAAGAAGTACACCCGAGGCCTGAATAGACTCTGGCCTCTCGCCGTTAAACACCATCAGTACAAACTGAAGGCAGTACACTCCAATATCCAGCAGAGCTCCTCCTCCCAGTTCCTTCTCAACTGAGCGAGGGATGTGGAGCTGAGGGGAGCCAAAGTAGGCCTTCACCAGCTTCACCTCGCCTACTGCCTCTTCAGCCAACAGCTTACGCACCTCGGCATGCACTGGAAAACAGCGGGACCAGATGGCCTGAAAGGGGACAAAACAGTCAGCAGAACCCAACTTTTGCTGATGTTGTAAATTGCTACTATAATTCTTAACATAGTCTGTCTTTTTGAGACTGGTTTTATGTGCAAAGCAATTTGTCTAATTAATTAAGATCTCCAATTGCTTGATAGACATCAGCATGTCATTATGAAAAGGTTGTACAGAAAATACAACTTTTCACTCTGGTAAATTTTAAGCTGATGTCACTTTTTCCTAACTTCCGATGAAGAGTGACTTTCTGAAAAAACACATTGCATTGGTTCAAAAGGTGGGGAAATCAAGTTGCTTCTGATCCACGGCCTATTCTGAATGTTGTGTGCTTAAAGACACGTGGAGCTTCAAAGTTAGGCAGCATCATAACTAGTTAAGTTAGTTTTTGGGGACAACACGAATTTGTTTAACTTTTCTTCCTGTGAAAGGATAAATTGACCAACTGGAAATAACATGACATGTCCAGAAAACATCAGTTGCTGGTTAGTTTTTGAATTGATCAAATTATAGAAGGGTTGATACATAATAGTGTAAAAGGGTGTAATATAAATTACACACAAATTCATGATGGACAGAAATCTACCTTACCTCCATCAGGAACACATTGGTTTTCCTGGCGGCCTCCACCAGGTCTTTGACCTGCCTGGAGTTCATTGCAAAGGGTTTCTCACACAGGACATTCTTCCCAGCCTGTAGGAACAGCAGACCAACTTTCCAGTGCTCTGTGTGTAGCACTCCCAGGTAGACAATGTCTAAGGACACAGATGTATTATCTTTAGCTGACAGAAAAAAACCATTATCCATATGCACAGCTTACTTGTTCTGAACTTCTAGCTCACCAATATCTGGGTCTCTGGCCAGCTGCTCATAACTTCCATAAACTTTTGGAATACTGTGCTTCTTTGCAAACTCTTTGGCACGATCACTGCTCCGTGATGCAATGGCTGCTATCTGCAAAATGAACAAAGTAGATATTTCTGCTTCTGTTCTGAACACAAAACACAGTTGAATATTGACATTGGAGTGAGCTTTCTTGGTTCTGTTACCTGGTGATCTTCCG